CAGAAACAGAAAGAGAAAGAAGTCAGTCAGGAAAAGTTACTGGCAAGAGGCTAATAATCCTTAGCACGCTTTTTACCTCAAGCCTACCACGCCCTCCAGGAGAAATGCATGACTATGAGAAAGTAACCTCATCTTGTCTCATTCAAAAGGCCAACGAACCTGTACTAAAGGCATCTGTTGTCTCTCAAGGTTTTTGAACCTTTAACAGTGCGACAATTAAAGAAAAACAAATATGAATGAGAATGAATCGATTTTCAGTGAAAAAAAAAATATTATCATTATTATTGTTATTGTTATCACTATTATCATTATTATTGTTATTGTTATCACTATTATTATTATTATTGTTATTGTTATCACTATTAGTAGTAGTAGTAGTAGTATCATTATTATTATTAATATTATTATTATCTTATAAACTCGCACCGGTATAACCACTTATGTAACATACAACAACAAATGCGGTAAGATGAGATAAGAGAGAGAGAGAGAGAGGAGAGAGAGAGAGAGAGAGAGAGAGAGAGAGAGAGGAGAGAGAGAGAGAGAGAGAGAGAGAGAGAGAGAGAAAGACAGACAGACAAACAGACAGACAGACAAACAAACAAACAGACAGACAAACAGACAGAAAGAAAGAGAGAGAAAGAAAAGAAAGAAAAAGCGAAAGAAAAACAGAGAGAAACAGAAACAGAAACAGAAACAGAAAGAGAAAGAAGTCAGTCAGGAAAAGTTACTGGCAAGAGGCTAATAATCCTTAGCACGCTTTTTACCTCAAGCCTACCACGCCCTCCAGGAGAAATGCATGACTATGAGAACGTAACCTCATCTTGTCTCATTCAAAAGGCCAACGAACCTGTACTAAAGGCATCTGTTGTCTCTCAAAGTTTTTGAACCTTTAACAGTGCGACAATTAAAGAAAAACAAATATGGATGAGAATGAATCGATTTTCAGTGAAAAAAAAATTATTATCATTATTATTGTTATTGTTATCACTATTATTATTATTATTGTTATTGTTATCACTATTATTATTATTATTGTTATTGTTATCACTATTAGTAGTAGTAGTAGTAGTATCATTATTATTATTATTATTATTATTATTATTATCACCATTATCATTATCATTATTATTGTCATTATCATTATCATTATTATCATTATCATTATTATTATTACCATAATAATTATCATCATCATCACCATCATCATAATCATTATCATTATTATTATTAACATTATCATCATTACCATTATCATTATAATCATCATCATCATCATCATTATTATTATTATTATTATTATTATTAATAATATTAATAATAATATTATTATTATTATAGTTATTATTATTATTATTACTATTATTATTATTATTATTATTATTATTTATTATTATTATTATTATTATTATTATTATTATTATTATTATTATTATTATTATTATTATTATTATTATTATTATTATTATTATTATTATCATCATTATTATTATTATTACTAGTGTTGTTGTTATCATTATCATTACCATCCAAATTATCATTATCATTATCACTATCATCATCATTATAATTACCAGGTTAAGAGATTCATTCTCATTAATTTTCTTTTCCGTTCAGTTTACGAAACTTCATTAAAAGAAAAGTCAGGAAAAATAGTAAAATATATTAAAAGTAAAGGAGCACAGAAAGATGACTATTGAAATGATTAATGAAAGGTAAGTAAAAAAAAATAGTAAAAGAAATGGGTAAGGAGAAGTGAGTAAAAATTGTAAAGAGAAATGAGTAAAACAATAGAAAGAAATAAAATTAATAATGAAGATTGAATAAAATCAATAAGAAATTAGTAAAATGAACTTTAAAATGAAAATAAAAAGGGTAAAGCTAAAAATGGAAATGACCTCATTCTAAAACCAGGAAAGACAACCTCAGCAGATAAAAATAGAGAAAAAAAAACATTACGAAACGAACACCAAAACAATACAGTACCGGAAGTAAACAAATCTTGCTGACCAAGAACTATATAACTTATATCACTGAAATCCAAAAAGAACAAAAGCAAAACAAAACAAAGACAAAGTGCAAAAACAAAACAAAGACAAAGAGCAAAAACAAAACAAAGACAAAGAGCAAAAACAAAACAAGGACAAAGAGCAAAAACAAAAAGACAAAGAGCAAAAACAAAACAAAAAACAACACCAGAATCACAGTGAGCCTCAACGTAAAAAGATAAATGAAAGAGGGAGGGTAGACGATCAAACCAAACCAAACCATACCAAAACAACGGCAATTAATCAATACCTGATCATTAAAAAAAAAAAAAAAAAAAAAAGCAAAATCAAACACAAGCAAAACAAGACCACAGCCACAGTGAGCCTCGACGTGAAAAAAGGAAAGGGGGAAGGTAAGTGTCTCTCTCTTCAGGGCTTCTCGACAGAGTTGCTGCGTCACGAGACAATTAATCAATACTGGGGGTCGGAGCGCGGTAGCCGGGCAGGTTCCG